CCGGCATCACCTGCACAGGAGCCGAACACATCAGGGACACGCACATTAATGCTGAGATGAAATGGAGAGGCACAGCTATAGGCGCGTAATTAGGAAACTTAATGACTCCACTCTGATTCCGCCCTGTTTAGTGCATCATTGATTGTATAATGTTATGCATCGGTGACTCTCTTCCATCCTCAGAGCTCTCTGCATAACTTCTTTCAGCGTTTGCTTTGGCAAAGACAAAGGCATACTGCCAGAGCTGACAGCATTGTTTTCTCTAAAGGATTAATTTAATTTTTTCCACTACAGCCACTCTAGGATTGGAAGGTCTCCAAGAAAATAGAGAAGAAGCAAAAGGCTATCACAGCCTCGCAGCTTATCTGTCATGGTGTGGGCAAAACGCATACATAATGAACAACCCACTTACAGCTGTAAGTAAAAGATGCTAAAAACCGAGGCTCAGTTTTTACTAAAGGTGAAAACTTTTAAAATGCCATACTGACCTTTTTGTCCTGGTGCGCCTGGAAGTCCAAAGTAGCCTGGAGGCCCTTTGGGACCCATTGTCCCTGGAGCTCCTGCTGCTCCTGCGGCTCCAGCTGGTCCAGGGAGTCCAGGAGGACCTGCAGGTCCAGGAGTACCAGGGGCACCAATGGCTGCTGGCTTTTTTGAGAGTTCTTTCATAAATTCAGCTAATTGCTCTAGATGAATTGCAACAAATAGGTTTTAATATTTAACTGCTCAACCCTTCATTGGGTTCAATGTGAGGTTTTATTAAGGTGAACAAACGGCACCTTCAACAACAGCTGAACACATTTCCCGAAGCTTCTCGTCACTCACTTTTGGCCCCTGTGAAATCACGAATACTATTACTGCAAAGTTACTGCAAAGGGTTAATGCAGCCAACAGTTGCATTTGCACTGTTTCTGCCAGTTTCATTTGTTAGAAATAATTGCTGAGATTATTCCAAACCAAACTGGTGGATCAGGTGCTGCCATCTCTAGAACCACTAGCATGTCTGCTAAAAGTAGATGTAGTCTGCTAGCATGTGGCTTAAGTGTATGCATTTCCTATACTGGTTAAACGTGTCACTTACAGGTAGACCTCTCGGGCCTGGTGCTCCGGGAAGGCCCGGCTCTCCCTCCAGCCCTCGAGCTCCCATTGGACCCGTCAAACCCTCGTGTCCTGGCTGGCCTGGTCTGCCATCGGCTCCTGTAACTCCTCTTTGGCCCTTCTCCCCACGCTAATGGTGAAAACGAATCATCATGAACCAAGGCTGTATGTGTCAGCAGTAGGATACTGCCCCTATCAGCTAAGATAGCTTGTGTGCCAGAACAATACACAACTAAGTGATTCCTTCAGTGTTTGAATAGCTTCAATAACACTCTGTAAGCTTTTTATACCATATGCTAAGGTGGGAATTGATTGTAGTACCTATTCAAATTGTCAGGGTCCTGGGTCTCCTGACCCAGCGTTTTTAGTTCTTTGTGATTTTTGTATTATTGTACTTGTGTGTGATTTATTCTATGGTTTCTAGTTTTGATCCCTTGCCCTTCATGTCTCTCTGTGTCCCCTCTGTTCTGTGTAAGTCTGTGTCTGCATGTTTGAGTTTCCCTCTGTTGTCTATTGGTTCATCGAGTCCTCTGCCTTACTGGTTATGTCTCTGTGTTTCTTAGTTGCTGTCTCCACCGTGTCAAGTTCGTGTCTCTGTGTCATACGTCCTGTTTTACTTTGAAGGTCCGTGTCTTATGTGAATGTGTTCAGGTTACGCGTCCTTGTCTCGTCAGTTCTTATTTCCCCCAGCTGTGCTCTCCTTCTGTGTCTCATTCCCCTCGTTACTTCCCAGTGTATTTAAACCCTGTGTTTCTCTGAGTCAGTGTCGCGTCGTACCCTCAACAAGCTGTGTGTTTTGCCTCTGTGTTTCCCGTGTTTTGTCTCCAGCTCCAGTTCAGTATTTCTGCTACAGTGTTTTAGTCCACCAGCGTTTTTGTTTGTCTTTTGGTGAGTTTAGTTTAGTAAGAGGTTTTTCCCAGCAATAAAGCTGCGCCTTAAGTTGTACTTCTGTGTCTGAGTCCTGCATTTTGGATCCACCACTCCTGCTTGCCTGCCTGCCACACACCCTACCATGACACAAATGTTCTAAATTGTTTGTTTGTATATACAATCCAAGCTTGCAATATTAGAAGTCATGAAGCACTTTCCATGTAAAAAGCTCCTTAGGTGAGCTTTTATAGCAGACAACTGTTTATGCATACCTCTCCTTTGATTCCATGAACACCAGGAGGGCCCTGAGACACACACAAAGATAAATCAACATCTCTCAAATCCAGCAACAGAAAATACATTTTTGTTACATTTAATTAAGCATATGAGTCAAATACCTGGTCTCCCTTTATCCCAGGATCTCCTTGCACTCCTCTGTCCCCCTGTTTTACAACAGATTGAGCAAAAAAGTCAAATTACTGGACGAACTGTTAAGGTTCATTTGCAGATAAACTGGAAATTACAATATTTCTCACCTGACTTCCTTGCGGTCCTACTGGTCCAACAGGTCCCTAAACAACACATTATGCTCTTCACTAAACTCTTATTATAAGATTTCCAAGCTTTGGTAAAGAATGAACTTTGTCTCACCAGATCACCTTTGTGCCCTGTATGGCCCTTCATTCCTTTGGCGCCGGGGTTACCTTTAACTCCTTTCTCACCCTGAAAATACAACAAACATATTTATGTCTGCATGTTCAGAGCAACAGGGTTGAGACAGCTGAAGTAGCTTTATTTTACCACCCCTAACCCCTGCTCTGATTCACCTTTTTACAGGATGTCATTTGTGAATTTTGCAGAAACTAACTCTTCATCATTAGCTGTTACAGACACATCTCATTTAGGCTGCTGGGGGATTCCTGTGATGCACTGAGTATTTCTTCTTCAGTCGCCTTTCTCACTCACTATATGTTAATTAGGGCTGGGTGTCGTCACTGATTTCTAGAATCGATTCAATTCCGATTCACAAGGTCCTGATTCGATTCGATTGATTCGTTTTGAATCACGAAAATTTTGCCTCAGACAGTCAGAAATATTATAGTTCTTATCACTTATCAGTACATATCCATATTTTTATATCTATAAAAACAAAGCTGATACTTGATCAAAGGTGTAAACATCTCAGCAGATGCCTTTGTGTCAAAGTAACTGAGGATAAAACACACAAAATTTTCCTGGCCTGGGATTTTATAGCAGATAAAAATACTCTGCAGTAGAACAAAAACGAAAGAAAACCATAAATCAACATCTGAACAATACCTGATGCTGCTGAAGTGAAACAGAGCAAAGTTACAGAGGTTTTATTAAAGACACAACTGAGCATTTTGCAATTTTGCATAATTTAAAAAAGTAAAAAAAAAACAGTGGCTGACAGCGCTGTACACAACGGTAGACTGGTGGGTAATAAGCAAGCGAATAATGCAGAAAACAGAGAGAGAGAGAGTGAGCTCTGCATGAAGTGTGATTTTTATCGTGGTGGAAGCAAAACAGCAAAAGTAAGAGGGAATTCATGACGATGTTTATGTGAAGCGAAACGTGAAGCTAGTTTGGATCTTCTTCTGCTGCCGGTTCAGTCAATGTTGTTTGGAGAGAGATCAAACCTGCAGCTTCTGAATCGAGCGCAAAAAAAGACAAACACAAAGAGCGGAGCCGCCGACGCATCAGAATCAGTGAGCTGTCAGCTTTCAGTCCCGACAGCATGTCCATGGTGAGGAAGCAGACATCTCACTGATTCTGATTCTTGTCCGCGCTTTGTTGTGTTTACGTCTTTGTGCAGAATCCGTGCACTGCTGTCATTTACTGTTTAAAGTTTTTGTTGGTTGTCAAACTTTTTGGAGGTTTAAGATTCTGGCGTTTTGGGCAAAATGAATTTATATTTAAAAATTGATTCAGGATTTTAATGAATCGATATCACGTTATCCAAGTTAGAATTGATTGCAATTGATAAATCGATAATCAAAACCCACCCCTAATGTTAATAGACCTCTCTGCACTGAATCATACTTGTTATTAATCTCAGTCTCTCTTCCACAGCATGTCAGCTTCCTTTTATCCTGTCTTCCTTGGCCCTGTCTGCAGGTGGTTCATGCTTGCTCATGTTGATTCGTGTGATTGTTGGGTTTTTGTCTGTATGTATTATTGTAGGGTCTCCCTTACAATATAAAGCACCTTGGGGCGACTGTTGTTGTGATTTGACGCTGTATAAATTAAATTGAATTGAACTTCCAGAGACGTCATCAAAGTTTCTGTTCCTCTGTAAAGCTGTAAAGCCGTGCCTGGGACAATAAGACAAAAAGACTCGCTTCTGGAACACAGAATTGAACGATGAGACAACACTGATGTCATCAGGCCAATCAAGCAGCTAAAACAGGTTTACTCCGCCTTAGTGATAGAGAGTGGAGCTCACACACATCGATGGAGTTCAGAGTAGAGCTACTGCGCCTTCACTTTGGTTGAAGCCAGCTAAAGTGCTTTAGACAAATAGTCAGGATGGCTCCTGTGTGTTTCTCTTTGAATGTTTTCTGGGAATGCCCAGCTGGGAGCAGATGGATGGATGGACAGGTAGTGCATCAGTGTATCTCACCTGGATTCCTGGTGGACCTGCAGGCCCAACTGGTCCTTGTTTTCCTGTTTGACCCTGTACATCAAGAAGTAGTAAAACCTCAACTTCAGTTTGCACATGAATTTGCTGGTACTAACGTACCTGAAAAGTCTAAAAGTGTAACTTGTTTTTAATTTAAATATAAAAATCATGAAGCAATGGGGACAAAATGTCAACTTACAGTTGCTCCTTTATCTCCAGGTTTTCCATCTGCTCCATCTTTTCCAGCCTCGCCCTATATGGGAAAAATATCCAAATGAATTTGAATGAGTGTGAATATCACTTGCAGAACCAACATAACTGATGAAAAATATCTGTAAAATTAGAGGCTCATGGATAGAGTTCTGTGGGTAGAGTAATCTCACAGTTTTTCCAGAAAGTCCAGCTGGTCCGACAGGTCCCTCTGCACCAGTGCTGCCCTAAATCCACAGCAGGAATTGCACTGAATAAGTCAGCTCAAACCTCAAAGAGAGTGTTCTACTGAAGCTGTCAGCTGCAATAACATTAGGGATGTGCTATAAAGACATGCCTCATTAAATAGATGATGATTCCAATTACCTTCTCACCGGGGGTTCCAGCTACTCCCGGCTTCCCTGGCAGACCCTAGGAACAAAAACATGTCACGAAAACATACTGAAAATGTTTGTGTCATTGCCTCATGTCTGTTTCTGTGAGGAGCAATAATTAACATTAACAGGAAATGGGGTCAGGGAATTAGCATAGCAGCGAAGTAGCATAAAACATTACTTAACATTAACAGGAAATCAATTTATTACACTTATAACTGTTTGAGAAACAGTAGTAAGCACACTGGAAATAAGTCACACAGCCTATAGTAAAAACACTGTCCTTTCATCTACTGTGCTGTTTGTGAATTCACATTTACCATTCAAGTCACATCTGTATCCTCTCATCTCACAGCCTTACAGGCAACAGTAGGTGTGCCCTTGCCCTTCCTGCAGGTTGTTTGACTTTAATCTTTTATTTAGCTGACCAGCTTTGTTGCTTCAGAGAGAAGCTCGTCCTCCTTTAATTTACCAGCGTCACTAGCTTCCCAATGAAACGCTAACTCCTGGAAATCGTAACCACAGAGGATATAATTCAATTACAGGTTTAACAGAATCTACAAAAATTAAGTTTGACTTACTGGAATACCCACAATCCCCCTGACACCAACAGCTCCAGGAGTGCCGGGCTCTCCCTGTTGAGGAGATGCAAAGTGTGCACAGGTTGTTGTATGCGGTATAAAAGTTTACTTTTGTTGAATGTGTGTTCAACGATTTATCCAAAGAAACCAACATGGTGTCAGCCAAAAGTCCAATGGGACCCATGATGCATTCAGCAGAATAATTCGGTAAATTTTGGGGGGGGACACCATATGTTGTAGACCAGCGGTCCTCACTTCATTCACGAATTCATGGTTTTCAGGGTTTTTATTGTTTGTTAGACATTTCAAGCCTGATAAAAGCAAACATTAAAAGCAATATGCAATAATAATATTTGATGTGTTTCCTTCTTTCTTAATTAATTAACTGAATACTTATATACGCTTAGATTTTTTGGTTGAGTCAGCCTTTCTTGGCCACGCGTCACCATTAGCTTGTAGATTTGATGTATTTCTGTCTTGTATATTTTAGAAACAGGCCCATCCAATTCAATCTTTCCATGTCTCCCAGACAATTATTGAGTTTTAGTTTAGTATGATGCACTTTTATTAGTAAAAAGATCACAGGGGATAACGGTTACCTTGGCGCCATCAACTCCAGGACTTCCATCTAAGCCATTATTTCCAGGCCCTCCCTGAAAAACACTATATATTAAACAATGCTGTGCTAAAAATAAATGTCTCACCATTCATCCATTTTCTTCCACTTCTACTTTATATCTTCCAGCTTACTTACAGTATCTCCTTTTTCCCCTGGAGGACCCTGTGATCCCTGAGCTCCCATGGCTCCCTAAACAAGATCAAATCACATTTGTTTAAATGCTTTTCAAATTAGGATTTGTTATATAATCTATCATCTTAGGTAGAGAGCAGGACTCACATCTTCGCCTTTAGGCCCCGGCAAACCCAGACGTCCACGCATTCCCTCCACACCCTGAGAGAAAGTAAGTTACAGGTTAAAGTACATCCTGCCCTTTTTCGCTCTTAGAGCAAATGCCAGAAGATCAGAGGCCGTGGAGCTGATCAAACTAAGACTGCTTACAGGAGCTCCAGGAGGACCAGTGGGTCCTGGGACACCGTTGAAGCCAGGTGGGCCCTGAGAATGGAGAAGAGTTAGCTTTCATTTACATGTACAAAGGTCCAAATGTCTGTGTCATCACTGTTAAACGTACTCTGTCTCCCTTCTCTCCCGCGGTTCCAGGGACTCCGATGGGTCCTCTTTGTCCCTATAAGGACAAAAGAGATTTTATTTTGTAGATATTTATCACTTTATATCTTTAGGGAGACATAATTTCATTAATATTAATACAGTGTAACCAAGGGAGAAGCTTCCCTACATCATCTCCCATGTGACCAGGTGGTCCTTGAGGACCCTGCTTTCCTGATTCCCCCTGTGGAAAACCGCAAGTGTAAACACATTAACATCACATTTTGTGAGGGTGGATTGTAGCATGTGTACAAATGGTTGGTAGAGAAACATAGCTCATTGCTACAAGGTAACTACTGTATGTACTGTATGCTCTGTCTGATTTTCACTCTGCTTGTACCTTCTCTCCAGGAACGCCGTCCTTTCCAGGCGCACCATCCAGACCTTTGTGTCCCTAAAGGTAACAATCACATCATCAATCAATCAATCAATCTATCTATCTATCTATCTATCTATCTATCTATCTATCTATCTATCTATCTATCTATCTATCTATCTATCTATCTATCATTACAAAAGGCCAACATGATCACTCTGGATCTAACGTGCCAGCTGACAGACATGCTGTCATGTCTGTTTGTGACAGTGAGGCAATAGCTAGGGTTATCCAGGTAGCACTCTTGACTACATTCATTGGACTACACTATATGGACAAAAGTCTTGGGCCACAGCACTTGGTGTCCCAGAACCTTTGTCCATATAGAGCATCTCTAATACACAGTGGCGGTCCTAGCCTGTTTGGCGCCCTGGGCGAACACTCCCC